TGCTGTCACAGGGCTGGGATCCTGCCCGGAGCCTGTGAGGTTTGACCGGCTTAGCCTGGGGAGTCACTTGGATGAGAGGATGAACCACAGCACTCACCTTCAGGCGAAGGACCACGTTCCCCAGGAAATCATCCTGCCCTTTGTCTTTGCGAGCATCCTTAAAGATCCTGAAAGGCACGAACGAAGAAGGGGGTGAAAAGGTTTCCTGCAGCCGTAACCCAGCTGTGGTCGGGGCGAAGAAGGGCGATGCAGACCTGTCACCTTCCCTCCCTCCTTTCAAAAGCAATTTTTAAAATCCAGCAGGCAAGTAAGTATTTTCCAAACCCTCTTTCCTCGGCAGCCCTTAGGGCCACGCCAGCACCAACCGTTTGAGGCCGTGGAGGTCCGTCAGCTCCCCCAGCTTGTGCCGCACCGACTCCACCGTGTCCGAGTCCCTGTGAGGGTGGGCAGCGAAACCCACCGGGGCGGGGGGAAAGGAGGAAATTCAGGTGATTGCAAAACAGTTCAGGGAGTTGCAATGATAGCAGAGAAGGGAAGGTGCTGGGGAGGGGGAATGTGTCGGGACTGAGGCCATCCCCAAAACCAGCTGGCCAGCCAAAATCCGCAAGCACGTGGCTTCTTTCCATAAATAAAAACCAGGGTTCAGGATGAGCCCGGCTTGGGCAAAGCCAGCGTGGGCTCTCTCTGCTCATGCTGGTCGCATCTTGCACTGTGCACTGCTCCAGCAGAAAGGGATGGGGAAAGGGGTCCCCAGTCGGTTTCTGGGGCTTTTTAAAGGGTGCTGATTGAAGGACCACCCCAGGGACCCTCCCAGGAGGCAGAACCCCCCTGCTCAGGGCTGGGTTTTGGGGTGGCTGGCTACGGGGTGCTGCCGCTCACCACATGTCCAGGTGGAAGCTGGCTGTCTCCACGTCTTCAAACTCCCTGCAAGGCACCAGCAGGATGCCGTTACTCCAGCAGCATCCGAGGGAGCAGCAGCAAGCAGGCAGGAGAGCTGGGGATTACAAGCAAGGGGCTCTTCCCTGGGGGAGACCCCAAACCACCCCGCACAGCCTGGGGAAGTGGTGGGAGAGCCCCGACGGAGGGATTTTTGCCACGCTTTTGTTTTTCACCTCCCTGGACCTGCTGCATGGGTCAGACCAGAAGCCTGGCAAGCCCCAGTGGGCATCGCCCAGCTGAGCCCCAGCTCCTGGTTAGGGCGAGTGGTGAAACCCCCCCAATCCACCCCCAAGAGCATTGGCCATCCCCTCCAGCCCCCAAATCAGCAAAGCCAAAGGGTGGCAGATTACAGGATAAATGTCTCTTCCCAGACCGGGCTGAGGGTCTGCCTTATGACTTGTGTGCGATGGATCTGGTCTTCAGGGATGAAGTCCTTGACCACAGCCTTCATCCGCCGCTTGTGTTCAGGGTGGGCCAGTTCCTGGCTCTTGGCCTCGATGCCCAGCAGACAGTACGGGTCACTGAACCCTGCGAGGGCAGAGACGTGAGAGTCCCCGTCAGGAGCAGCGGCTGTCCCTTTTCTGATGGTTTTCTGATGGGACGCCCACCCATCTCCACTTACCACTGACATCTTTACCCAAAATCCCCTTGGCTTCTTTCACAGTTGCTTTCAGGCAGAAAATTGGGCTCTGGAAGAATGAGAAAAAAAAAAATATTAATGTC